CAGTCTCCTGTGGGGAAGGGGTGAACTGTAATACTGCGAGGAGAGGGGGCCTCTGGTCCCGAATTAGCTGCCATTGTCAGCATCACTGTGAGAGGAGTCGTCTCCCTGCTAAATGAAAGCAAAGGGGAGAGGCTCCATCTGCTTGAACTTCATGGTATTTTGGCTTCCAAGGATGCATTTAATGGAAGGAATCTGCCCACCAGGGGGGTGACCTTCAAGAGAGCTTGGAAGGGAAGGGGGAGTTCAGCAGGGAGGAGGCTGCTGATTGACAATTAGCATGGAAATGCAGCACCATGGGCACAGGGGGATCATTGTCTCGGGTGTGCCACGTTAAATGGCCAAAGAAGCTAATGACAAGGAACAGGACAGCCAGCCCCCCCCCCACCGCTCCTGATTTATTACCCCCCATAACTCTCCCCACCATGGGGTGAATAGGACACTGCCAGCTGGTGTGGGTGGCTTCTTCCCCAGAAACCTCCCCGACTCTTGCCCCCCTCAAGCATCCTTGCTGCTGAGTGTGACATGTGCAAGCCCCTACCTGGCCCTGTCATGGGCGTGTAGCTCAGTGATAGTGTTTGACTGCGGATCACATGGTCCTTGGTTCAGATCCAAGTGCCCCCTTACAAGCTTAGTCTGGGAGGGAAGGGACTGCAGGGCTCTGCTCTGGGTCACCCTGCTGGGGGGCCCAGCAAGGTGGGGCACAGTCTGGGAGAAGGTAGCACATCCGTATCCACAGCCATGGACACATACACAGCCACAAAAGTATGCACGCACCCCATTGTGATGTGTGCGCACCCACAGGCTGACCAGCCTGCGCACGGATGCCTGTAAACACACGTGCAGACACACTCGACACCTGTGCGTGCATACAGAACAGCACCTCTGCATATGTAAAAGCCCAGAAGCATACTGTCGAATAAGGGCATGCAGCAGTCTAACCCATTTTGACTCTCCTTTTTAAAACCCCAACTGCAGAGCCAGGGGTGCAGAGGGGACATGTCCCCTTTCATCCATTGCAGGACATCCTCGCGCCCCCCCCAGCCCATTTCAGAGCAGCCTTCTATTTCTCCCTCTCTCATGTATCTGGTACATTCCAATCTACCTGAGAACTGGCTGCTGTTCGAATGCCCCCCCCCATGCATCCTCTCTTCACCTGCAGGGGAACCCCCAAGATTCCTGGTGCAGGAACCAGCATTGCCTCTGGTTTTGTGTGGTGGCTGTTTAAACTAGCCAGGGGCGGCAGCTCTGGAAGCTTCTCCCCCCTCCCCCCGTAGTCTCCTCCCCCCGCCATCCTCTCCCCAGGTGGAAATCGGCCGTTAAAGGGAGCAGTTTCACCCAATCGCACTCCCCGATGACAAACAGCCCGGCTTGCCAGGCAGCCGACGTACTGCGAAGAGGCAGGTTCCGGCCTGCGCCCGCACATTAAAGAGACAACCCTGTGCTATTTATGCTGTCGGAGGCCTAATTATGGGAGCAATTTTGGATTCCAGCGGTGGGGCAGGGGGTTGAGTTGGGGCTGGGACCAGCACAACCGCGCATGGCCAGCGGTGAGTGGGCATGCCTGGTGCCGATCCCAGAAGCGTCCTACAGCCCACAGTCTTTGGCCTTTTTCAAAACACTCGCTGAAATATACGTGGCAGCTTCTGAAATGAATTTGTCAGTTAGCACCCAGTTCACACCCACGTCTTTAAAAAAGGAACTGGATTTCTTGCCAGTTTTTTAATTCCTACATCCCCTATCATACCTATGCCCGATCTCAGGTACTGGTGGCTGAGTTTTACACCTGACGAGGGCATCGGGAGGACCTGTGAAAGCCCTTCACCCCCAGCCATTGTGTGGCACCACTGCCATGGATGTGCTGCCATGTCTCATGAGTCTCATGGGATTTCATGTTAAAGCCCCAGCTCCTAGAGTCATGTGAATAAATGAGGATCACCGGTTTCCTTAAAAATAAAAGTAAGTTTCTAGACCTCATGGTTGCAGAACAGAGCTTGAAAATGTGACTGCAGTGATTAGCTTTAAAATCCGGAGATTTTAAAAACTAATTTCATGATTTTTGGGAGACCCAGCTCAGGATTGTTGAACACATGGAGCTGGTGATGCTGCTCCAGTGTGCTGGCATCAGGCACCGGCAAGCAATACCAAGGAGGCAGGGCCTTGTGGCCAAGGCATTGGGTTTAGGCTCAGGAGATCTGGCTTCGGATCTTGGCTCTGACAGAGCCCCCATGTGATCATGGGAAGGTCACGTGTCCTCTCTGTGCCTGTCACCATCTGTAAAAGTGACTGTAACAATTAGAACTGCTCAGAGAATGGAGCAGAGGAGTGGGGGAGGGCTCTACGTAAATGCTAGAATTTCCCTCGAAAAACCAAAAGGCCAAAATCCATGTGAACGGAGTCATAGAGTTTAAGGCCAGAAGGGACCACCAGATCTGACCTCCTGTATCGCACAGGCCACCAGCCCCACCCTGCCACCCCACACCAAGCCCCACCACCAGAATTAGTCTAACGTTTTACAGCCCTCAGAAGACTCAACTATTGTGTGCTACAGGCAAAGAATAGGAGGGACTGAGGTGCCAGCAATGCCCCAGGCCCTAGCAAGGGCAGGGCATTGATTTAAGTGAAATATACCCAGATGGACCCTCTTTGAATTTTACTGAGATTGTGGCCTCAATGACATCTTGTGGCAGTTAGTTCCACAGGCCAATCCACATTGTGTGAAAAAGGGTTTCTTTTATTGGTTTTGACTTTGCCACCTTTTGATGTCATGTCCCCTTGCTCCCATGTTGTGAGATGACAGACGCTCCCGCTCTCCCTTCTGCAGAGCGTTTGCCACTTTGTATTCCTTTACTGTGCCCCCTTTTCATTCACCTCTCCGCTAAGGTAACCATCTCAGTCGTTACTGTCTCTCCTCATGTGGGAGTTTTTCCCTGCCCCGATCATTCTTGTCACCTGTCTCTGAACCCTGTCTTCCTCTAAGAACATAAGAGTGGCCATCCTGGGTCAAATCAATGGTCCATCTAGCCCAGTATCCTGTCTTCCAACAGTGGCTGGTGCCAGATATTTCAGAGGAAATGAAGAGAACAGGGCAATTATTGAGCGATCCATCCCATGCCGTCCAGTCCCAGCTTCTGGCAGTCAGAGGTTTAGAGACACCTAGAACATGGGGTTGCATCCCTGACCATCTTGGCTTATAGCCATTGCTGGAGCTATCCTCCATGACCTGATCGAACTCCCTTTTTTTGAACCCAGTTATACTTTTGGCCTTTCATAACATCCCCTGGCAATGAGTTCCACAGGTTGACGGTGTATTGTGTGAAGTACTTCCTTATGCTTGTTTTAAACCTGTTGCCTAATAATTTCATTGTGTGACCCTTGATTCTTGTGTGATGTGAAGGGGTAAACAGCACTTTTTTCTCCAGACCAGTCGTGATTTTATAGACCTCTGTCATCTCCCCCCTTCTCTCTTCCAAGCTGCAATGTCCCAGTCTCTTTAATCTCTTCTCGGACGGAAGCTGTTCCGTGCCCCTAATAATTTTTGTTGCCCTTCTCTAATTCGAATACCTTTTTTAAGATGGGCGACCAGAACTGTGGACAGTATTCCAGTGTGGGCACACCATGGATTTATGTGGTGGCATCATGATATTTTCTGCATTAGTCTCTATCCTGTTGCTTATTCACTCAAAGTCTCCTGTGGCAATGGGTGTGATCCAGGGCACCCAAACCCCCCTGAGCTCTGGAGGAGTTTGGAGCTGGCTATGAACTCGTGGCTCTGCTCAGTGCTTCGACAGTGATGGTGATAAATTGGAAGGCGTTCAAAGAGGCGAGACCCCAATGAGCAGGGGTTTGGAGAGACTGACCTATGGGGAAAGCATTAAACCTGCGCAGTCTGGCAAAGCAGTGGGGGCATGCTAACAGGCAGGTGCCAGCCAGGGCAGAGAGAGTGGCAAAAGAGGGTATAGGAACAGAGGGGAGAATAACCCCAGCAGCAGCATGGTCTCTGTGTCCTAGCAAGGGGGGGTCGTTCCCACACTGCTCTGCCATCGCTACCAGCTTTTAGGCCAGCAAAGCCGGGTTTCTCCTTGCAGTCACGGTTAGTGGCTATCTTTATGGAGGAAAAAGAGTCAAGGCCTCTTACAATGGCAGAGACAAGCCTCATTTCCTCTCTCCTGCCTTAGTGGCTGTAGTGCAGAGTCCTCTCCCAGTGGGGCATGGAATGGCCCCAGCCATGGGTTATCACTGGGGACTGAGTTTGGGTCCTTCCCTGCTAGAAGCATGAGCCTCCCTCACCATTAGCCGGCAGCAGTAGTAGAAGGCCATTATCCCCTCACATGGGTTAGCCACTAGAGGGGAACACTAATGAACGGGGTACTGAGCGCGAGTCTCACGTTCAGCATTCAGACAGGTTTCAGAGTAACAGCCGTGTTAGTCTGTATTCGCAAAAAGAACAGGAGGACTTGTGGCACCTTAGAGACTAACCAATTTATTTGAGCATGAGCTTTCGTGAGCTACAGCTCACTTCATCGGATGCATACCGTGGAAACTGCAGCAGACTTTATATACACACAGAGAATATGAAACAATACCTCCTCCCACCCCACTGTCCTGCTGGTAATAGCTTATCTAAAGTGATCATCAAGTTGGGCCATTTCCAGCACAAATCCAGGTCCAACTTGATGATCACTTTAGATAAGCTATTACCAGCAGGACAGTGGGGTGGGAGGAGGTATTGTTTCATATTCTCTGTGTGTATATAAAGTCTGCTGCAGTTTCCACGGTATGCATCCGATGAAGTGAGCTGTAGCTCACGAAAGCTCATGCTCAAATAAACTGGTTAGTCTCTAAGGTGCCACAAGTCCTCCTTTTCGTTCAGTATTCAGTCGTATCCACAGTCTTCTCCTAGGCTGTAGCAAGAGGCATGAGATGCAAGTTATTAAGTGTCCCCTGACACAGCACCAGCATTACAGAGATGTTGATGTGACACTGGCTCCTCTTTTTTGCAGGCGCCTCTCTGGAAACCAGCTCTCCCAGATCCCAGGAGAAGCCTTTTGTGGCCTCTACAGCCTGAAGATCCTGTAAGTACTGCGTTTCCCCAGGCATTGCCGTTGCACTCTTGCAGGGCCATTGTCCCAGGGGGTCACACATGACGTGGGACTTTGCTCCGTTCAGAGGCAGCTGCCAAGCCACAAGGCATCCAGTTACCAGTTTCTGAATCCACACGGGTTAAAGTGCCCAGCCAAATGATCCTGTGGCAGCTCCAGGGCATGCTGGGGGCTCTGTCCTGCTGGGGGTCACAGCTCCTGTCTGCACCGTTTTCTGTGTGTTCTGCAGGATTGTACAAGAATAGAGAGATTCCCCACCCTGGGGCGAGTCCAGGCGGAAGGAACCTTTCTGGGCTCTGTTTCAAACCCTGGCTGTGGGGAACTTTTGGCTTAGCTCGTTGTTTGCTCTGACCCAGCTTGCGGTGTTCAGAGAGGAAGGGTTACTCGGTGGTTCGAGCAGTAGCCTGGGATGGGGGAGAACCTGGCTCAAGTCCTGATCTGTTGCGTGACCTTGTATAGAGTAGATTGCCACGCTGCAGCTCAGCTCCGCGATGTGTGCCCCTGGATCACGATACTGCCCGGGAACCAGAGACTGGCCCAGTCCTGAGATCCTTACGCAGGGGAGTTTTGCCTGAGTACCCACTGCGTCAGATGCTTGTGTGATTTGTCTGTACTTCTTCACAGGTTCTGTAAACTTTCCTCAGCCCCACATCACACCCTGCTCCCTCTTACCTGGCCTTGTCTCTCTGAGAAAGAGGCCTAGCAATCCCTAGCCAGCATCTTTCTGGCACAAGACAGCCTTCTTCCCCCTCATCCTCAGTGCAACATCAAGACCCAGAAAACCCCTGCTGGGTCTCCTCGCAGCCAATCACCCAAGCCCTCCCAATGGGAAGGGGTGTGGGGCTAGGGATGGCCCAGTGGGCAGAGACAGATGGACAGAGGTTACCAAATTCACAGGGTAGAATGCATCACTGCAGAGATGGGGTCTTCCCAGACTGGAATATGCCTGACTCTTTGCTGCTCTGAGAGGGTCCGGCACAGCCTCTGCTCTGCTATCCAGCTGCCTGTCCCTCTCTTCTCTCGACAAACACTTCTGAACATCTCTCCTGCAATAAACATTTCACCCCGGAGGCGATGTTTTGAACTCGACCGCACTGTGAAATCAGCGCAACCGGCATGGTTTATACGAAGCGAGCAGGTACAAACCTGCTCCCAGGATTAGAGAGTGCAGCCCTGTTTACTAGGTCTTCTGAAGATATAAAGTATGAATTCTGCCCTAAATCTCTGGGCTTAGCAATCAGATGCTTCTTTATCCATAGCCTGCATTAGGCAACGTATCAAAGGAACTGAGGAAAAACCGCAGCTCATCCACCCAGTTTCAACAAGGGGAACTTTCTACTCCAGGAAAGCTGCTGCAGTTTCCACGGTACACATCTGATGAAGTGAGCTGTGGCTCACGAAAGCTCATGCTCAAATAAATTGGTTAGTCTCTAAGGTGCCACAAGTACTCCTTTTCTTTTTGGGTTTTGAAAGCCTCTTTTCAGCCATTTATATTTGACTGACTCCCAGCCAGCTGTGGACGCAGAATGTAGGAACATCCTAGGAAGGATGTGTTACTTCCTGAGTTTGCACAGCGCCCCCTGCAGGCTAATGGGGAGCCAGCTCTGCCTCTCCAGACACCAGCACAGATTGTGACACCCATGTCCTGTGACAATCCCCGGGAGATGCCAGGCTGGGGCCTCAGGCAGAGAGGCGAGGAAGGGAAATGCACATGGGGACTGGATCCTCCAAACGCTTACTCCAAGGCTGCCATCTGCATCGCTGTATTCCTCTGCCGTTGAGGCAGGGAGCGAAGGCTAATTCTAGCTCTTCATGCCGACACTGGCCATTTCTTTTGCTAGGATCCCTCCCCGCCTTATGGAACAAGACCTCAGGGCTAGCTCTCAGCACAGGCCCAGCATGCAGCCGCGTGGGGCCCTGCTTTGCAGCACCCAGGCCAGGGACCGAGGGGGACTGTGTGAGGAGGCGAATCCAGGCTTGATGCAACCCAGGAGGCCCCACGCATGTTAAAGCCATGGGGCCATGCAGTCTCCCCTGCAGCCCAGAAGGGGGCGCTGACAACCTGAAGGTGCATCCTTCAGACCAAGACTTTCCGTACCTTGGGCTCCATTTGCCTGGGCATGGCGGCTGCAGTTTGCTCTTCTCACCCCCAGCCCCCCAATCCAGCACTGACAAGGTCACCCCCGCGCCCCCGGGACGATATCTGACGAGCACCTCCACCCTCTTGCAGAGAGCCCATGTGGGAGAAGGCGAAGAGAGGATTAAAATCCCCACCCACCTCTGCCACCTCCATCATAGGAAAGATGCCAGCTGGTTGCTGTCTATGCAGCTGTAGGGAATGCCCAGCTCCCTGGGGGACAAGACACCCCCTTAAACCCCACGTGGGTCGCCGGGGCTGCAGTCGTGTATGGAGGGAAGCTTCTGGATCTGGCTGGGAGGCAGAGGTTCCTTGGGGGTGGGGGGGGAGGAGAGACGGCTAGCTGGCTCCATGAGACCCACCCCCTCTGGGGTGAGTCCAGGCTGAAGGAATCTTTCCAGGCACTTAGTTTCAAACCCTGCTGGATGTGGGGAGCTTTTGGCTCAGCTGGTTATTTTGCTCCAACCCAGTAGTTAGAGCAGTCGCCTGGAATGTGAGACCCTGGTTCAAATCCTTGTTCTGCCTAGTCAAAGTGCCAGAGAATCCCCCTGTGACCTTGGGTTAGTCAATTAGCCTCCCTGTGCCTCCGTTCCCCATCTCAGCAACTTAGGCTTGAACTTGAGTTGCTACCCCATAGGGCAGCCTAGGATTGAACTTGAGCTGCTAACCCGAGTTAAAAGCCAAGTTGTCCTGTCTCTTCTTATCCCTTGAAGACCTGGACTTCGCAGATGATGTCACTCTCCTACCACATACCCAACACCATACACAAGAAAAAACAACTCGACTCAGTGCGTTGGACTGACAATCAACCGCAATAAGACAGAGATCATGACCTTCAATATTGCCTCACCATCACCAATACAGTTAGAGGATCGTGTTCTCACCAATGTAGAAACATTCACATACTTGGGCAGCACCCTCAGCCAGGATGGTGGAACAAGCCAGGACGTCTGGAACAAAATCAATAAATCCAGGAACACCTTCAGGAGCTTAAATACAATCTGGAAATCATCCAAATACAACACCGAAACCAAACTCAAGATTTATCAGAGCGGCATACTTTCAACACTACTTTATAGTGCAGAATGCTGGGGAATGAGAGTGTATGCCATGTCCAAACTGTCTTCACTCCATAAAACCTGCCTCAGAAAAATCCTCCTTATCTTTTTGGCCTAGAACAATCTCCAGCCAAGATCTGTTCACACAGTGCAGCCAAGAGGATCTGAGCACCATAATTGCCAGGAGGTGTTGGAGATGGATCAGTCAATGCCTCAGACAGAAATGGATTCCATCACCAGAGTAGCGATAAGATGGACACCTGAAGGCACGCAAAAACGAGGCCACCCGAAAACAACATGGCAAAGAACTGTGGAGTCACCGCTGAGGAACCATTGAAAGACTTGCTGGAAACAGACAGTGGGAGAGCATTGTCACGGCCCTAAATGCCAGAGGCGTAACAGGAACATGATGATGATTGATGTCCTGTCTTCACTGTCATGTTAAGAACACACTGTTTTCCAGTGTAGACATGTATCCTGCAGTAAGTGGCCCCCAGGTGCTTGTCCCTCTCCCAGCATTGATCACCGGTCCAGTGGTTCCCAGCGTCTTTGATATCTCTGCGTAGACAGGCTCATTTCTTATGTTCCTGCTGAAGGTCTGTGTCTTGCTCGCCTCACAGCACAGATTGACCAGGCTGGGTTCCTCTGACCAGCTAGCAGGGCATCAGGTGCTAGGGCTGTCTCTTAAGTGCTGGGTGTAGCTAACACACGATAGGGTTAGCTCTGTTTCCAGTTGAGCAGGCCACGTGGAAAGAGAAGGTTAAAGGCCGAGCAGCTGTATTTGAACCAGGAGGTTTCTTCCGATGCCTGGGAACCAAATGGGAATGGAAGGGCCAGGACACACAGGCATAAGGGATTGTGGGATATCATTGGCGGACTCTCCGAACGTGAGCCTGGTGATCTGGGCTTCTGCTATGTCCCCAATGCAAAATGAGCAGGCTTGAATCTGTGCCACAGTGGGACGTGGGCTCAGACCTGTATCCAGGGCAAATCCCCAGGCCTGTGTCCTGAGAGACTTCTGGTACGTGTTAGAAGGCTTTGTGTGTGGACAGTAGCAGGGTTTGGGCTTAAACCTGAGTCTGAGCCCAGGTTGTATGAAGTGTAGACCTAATCCTTCTCTGGGTCTGTGCAGCACCTACTGCAATGGGGCCCCAATCTTGGCAGGGGCTGCTAGACACTAGTAAGGTATCAGTTTTGCCATTTTATGGATGGGGAAACTGAGGCACGGGGACTGAAGAAAGATTTATAGGAAGGGCCGATTATCACACACCTCCTTATGGTGGGGTTCTTAAACCTTCCTTTGAAGCTGATAACTGTCAGAGACGCAAGATGGGAGTAGCTGGGCGTTGGGTCTGATCCAGGGTGGCAGTTCCTCTGAAGTGATTTGCCTGAGGTCACACAGTGAGTCAGTGGCAGAGCTGTGACTAGAACTCTGGCGCCCTAATACCCAACCCTCGCTCCGGCCGTGAGAGCTCTCAGCTCCCCTTGCCACTTGATTTCTGCATCACACTCCCTGCCATGAAGCCTATTCTGAGCCAGCTACTCTGATCCTTGGTGTAATGCCCCAAAGCACTGCGCCACTGAATGAGGACAGCAAGAGAGGGCCCCCCGGGCCCCCCCTCCTCTCCCCCCCAACCCAAAGGGACAGAGGAATCATTTCACTGGGCTATTGGGCCATATTCAGTGCTTGTGGAGTCACCTGCATGTGTGCGAAGTTGGTGTGAAAAGACTTCCCTTTGATTGGGTAGCTTTCGCACCTGTCCTATCAGACAATGTCC